TCTTCTTTGTCCCCTTTTTTGTATAGAAGTGTGACTACACTGCTGCTCAACATGTTCCCAAGGCCCCCCTTCAGCCAGCTGTCCTTGTAGAAGTTCAGAAGATCACCCCCAAGAAGTGGCCAGAATTTCTCCCAGAATTCTTTTGTTAGTCCATCAATGCCTGGAGTTTTGTTGTTGTTCATACTTTGGACTGCCGCTTGTAGTTCCTCTAACGTGATGGGCTTGTCTAGAGCGTTTGCCTGTTCTTGTGAGATATTTTTATCTAGGTATTGGAGCATTCTGGTCCGTGCTTCTCTAGTACTGGGGGGAGTGGGGGTAGGTGTCTTTGTTTGGTAGAGGTCTTCATAGAACTCCTTGGCTATGTTTAGCATTCCTTTGCTGTCTTTCAGTGTCTCCGCTGTTTCCGAGAGGGTTTTGAGGCCCTCTATTGAGCTAGATCTTGTGTTTGCTTTAATCCTCGCAAAGAAGTGCTTTCACATTAACTCGCTGAGCTCATACTCATTCATTCTCGACCTTATTTGTAGACCCTTTAATTCCCACCATCTCCATACAACCAGCTCCTCTCTTGCTTTGTGGAAAATGTCTGCATAGAAAGGCGAAGATGGATTGTCAACTAAGTTGGACTCTGCGACCCTTAGAGCAGCTTCTAGAGCGATTTTTCGTTGTTTCCTATCGTTTGACATTTTCCTTGATATGTTGGCTGTTGTCTGGGCCAGTACGGAGTAACTATCTTGGAACCAATCCCATCCGTCATGGATGGGGAGGTAGCTGCCTCTGCTATACTGCCAGCTGTCCAGGATACCTTTTTCGAAAGATTGGCTTAATAGAAGCGAGTTGTTCAGTTTGTGAAAGCTGGAACCTTTCTTCACAAATTGTTCGAAACTGATGATTAGTTCAGTTGGTTTGTGATCCAGCCCTGTGTAAGGTTGTAGGGGGAGGATGTCTGCCAACTTGGTTGTTCCCATTAGTGTTTCTGAAATAAAAAAATAGTCTATAAAGGAGAAGGCAGTGTGTTGGGCGTGGTTCTTCTTTACTAGGGTGAAGGCTCTTACTCCCGGGTGCAAGGTGCGGTATGGCTCAACCAGGTTGCAATCGAGCATCAAACGTTGGATAGAGACTGCCTCTTGTGTGGATTGGCTGGCCGTCGACCTAGATATACGATCTATTGTCGGGTCTAGGGTGGCGTTCCAATCACCTGCGAAGATGCAGGGCGTTAGAGGAGGGGCTAGATTCCCTATACTTGCTACAAAAGCTGCTCTCTCCGATGAATTGTTCGGTGCATAGATGTTTATTATCCTCACTTCTTCTTCTTTCCACCATAGGTCCATCATACACCATCTCCCTTCTGTTGTGTCTGCTTCTGAGTTCACTATGGAGCCTAACGAGTAGAGGCGGGAAGATTTAGGAATAAGGATGGTCGTTCCTTTTGTGCAGGAGTTGTCTGAGGACCATATTTCATCCTTGACGCCCCCTAGTTTCCTTGTAAGTGCTCTCCGGATTTTGTTGTGCTCAGCTGATAGTGTGAGGTGAGTTTCTTGCAACAGAGTTATGTCAACTGGTTTATTTGGTCGAATTGTTAGTCCTTCGATTATATCAGTCATTTTTTCTTCTTTGTCCAAAATATTGCCGAGTCCATTAATGTTTTTGCTTTTGATAACTATCCCTTGTGTTTTCCAGTCCACCCAGTCCTCCTTTGCGTTAGCCCTACTTCTGAAGATTTCAATCATCGGGGGATTGGGGGGTTAATTTGGCTGACGACGGAGGAATAGGATGTCTAGGAGGGGTCCGGATCTGTGGCCTCCATGGCGGATATGGTAGCATCCGACGGGTCCTGCTGTGTCTTGGACGGTGTGTCATCCATCTTGTATTCTCCCATGCTTTAACTGACTCCCTGATCCGAGGACGTAATCGGCTTTCGGTCACTGCCCTCTTCTTCTTCTTCGTGCCATTCTTTGTCCTCATCGTCTGAGCAGTCGCTCCTGTAAAATCTGTCGAGATCTATATGGAAGGCTCTTGTTTCTAGGTTGCTGCCACCACGGAGTGTTCCCGTGCTCAAAAGTTGTGCTACTGAGGCTGCCAGCAACTCCGCTGGGATGCCAGGGTCAGCTAGCACGTTGTACGGTATTGCTGCAACTGTCCTCCATGGTCTCCACATCATACCACTTTTCAGTTTGGTGTTGACTGGCATTTTGGCGATTACAGGGGAGAAGGCACCCGGCATGTGCCGCCCTTCCTCCATCTGCTGGTCCTGCTGCTCTCCCTGCTCTGCTTGTGAGGAGCTGACTTCCGACTGGCTGTCTGTGTCCAATGTCTCATACAGATCCAGAGGGAAGGTTTCCGTTACCTCCTCTTGCAAGATTTTGGCTACATTCTGGCCTTCTTCGACCCGGGGGATCGTGAAGGAGACATCTGTAGCCACTTGCCACTCGGCCTCCTTCTCGATGTACCTGGCTGCTATCAGTGGGCGGGTCCCCACCAAGGTGAGCCTTGCTGATTTGGCCGATTCCACCACATGGGGGGCTTTGCCGTTTGCGATGTGCTGGAGGGAGGTGAATTCCGGGGTGTACTCCGCGTTCAGCTTGATCAACTTCTCTATCTGAGCCACCACCACAGCCACCTCTTTCTCCAGTACGACCCGTGCAGATTCCTCTTCGGATTCTGTCTCCTGTGCTTTTGGATCTGAGTGTGGTTCCTTTTTTGTTTTATTTTTTGTGGTCTTCCATTTCTTCGGACGCAGATCCTGGAATGAGTCAATGGTGTTCGGGACTGTTTTGTCCTTGTCTGTCAGGCCGTGTTCCCTTGCCCTTTTCTTTTCCGCGTACCTGAAGGCTGTGTATTCAGAAAACTCTTCTTCCTTCCTCAACATTTCATATTGATTGGCAGATTTCTGAATGCCTGCCACTGACCCTTTCTTGTTGTTGTTCCCATTTTTTTGGGATCTCTCAACATGCTTCAGGCATGCTGCTCTGATGTCGAAAGCATGTTCCCTCCCCTTTTTGGCTTTCTCCACATAGTTCCTAAGCCATTGGAGAGACCGTTGGGATTCAGACTCAGACTCCGAAAGCATG